GTCTTGTTTTTATGTGGGTGCTGGGATCTGAACTGGTTCTCACGCTTATGTAACAAGCATTTTGTTGACAGCCATCTCCTCAGCAACTTCTGTGAATTTTATAAAACAGTATCTTGTATTCTGGCATGCAAGTAGTAAAATGTTCTTTACCATTCCTTCCAGAGTCTCAGAATAAGCCATTTCTCCAAGTAATCCGGGTTTCCTTTATTGTGGAATGGTATTGTAAATTAAGTTCCAAGTATTAAATGTATTTGCTCCCGTTAGGGTGTCAGTGATTTATATCCCTCTCATCTCACAGTAAAAAAAATAGGCATTTTAAAGATATATATATATATGTCTATAAATATTTCTGTGTGTAATTGTCTTTATCTTCATGAAACTCATCAACTGATGTCTCTGACTATAGCCCAGTACAGCATGTGTCATCCTAACTTCTCTTGCTTGTATGTAAATCCCTAATCCTACAGTAAGAAATACTGATCACATAATCAGTATTTTGGAATTCCAGCACATGTGCATAATAACAAAATTGTTAATTAGTGCTCCCAAGGGAAACAAATTTGTCAACTGGAGTACAATTGTTTATGTGGACTTTATTTACCTTTAGTTTTATAGACGTTAGTCATTTCCAAAACTACTTAAGTCAGCACCTTGAGCTTCCACCTTCTTAAGCAGGTTATTTCATATATTTGCATTTTTTAAGATTTATTTTTATTTATGTGTATGCTTTCAAATGTGTGTGAGTTTATGTCATGTGTGTGCAGGTGCCTACAGAGGCCAGAAGAAGGAATCTGTTCCTCTGGAGCTGAAGTTACAGGTGGTTGTGATCCATCCAATATGTGTGCTGGGCACTGACCTTGTGTCTCCTAGAAGAGCTTAACCACAGAGCCATCTCTCCAACCCCTTGTCATATATTTGTAATACAGTTCGTTGTTTTTTCAATTCCACTTTCCATCTTTGTATCCCTCAACCCCCTAATTGGGTTTTTGTTGATTTACAGGAACTAAAGGCAATTATTTAACTGTAAGATTCTATGGCTTTTTAAATGAAGGCATAGACCTGTATCTGCTGTTAGAAATATCACGAAGGGTATGGAAAACTCACCAGTGCTCCATCATTCAACTCTCTATGCCATCTCCCAATTCCCAGAACCTGAAAAACTGCTGCTATCTTTACTATTCCCCTAGAATTGCCTCTCCTGTAAGGTCATAAGTGGAATTAAATAGTATGTGGTCTTTTCAGACTAGTTTCTTTCATTTAGTAACATGCATTTAAGAGTCATTATGTCTCTGTGACTTGATAACACTTTATGACTGAAGAGTATTTCTTATGTGAACATAGTACAGTGTACACATTTTCTCACAGTCTTTTTTTGCTTTTTTCTTATTTTGGTTCTCCTAACAATGTTTTCCACCACACAGAAACTGTTCGCTTTTTGTAAAGTCCAGTGTATCAACTTTATCTTTCCTAGCGTGTACTTTTTGTGTATCTAAAGCTTATCATCAAATATTAAGAAATCTAAACTAGGAGCCTAGAGAGATGGTTCGGTGGTTAAGAGCATTTCCTAATCTTGCAGAAGACCTAGGTTCAGTTCCCAGCACCCACATACCACCTCACAACCATCTGCAACTACAGTTTCAGGAGGTCTAATGCCTTCTTCTGGCCTCTGCGGGCACTGCACACATGTGGTACCAGACATGGAGGCAAACACCGATACACATAAAATAAAAATAAATAAATCTTTTTTTAAAATCTCCTCTGTCATTTCATCATATGGGAAACCAAATTAAAAGGTCAAGATAGATATGGCTTCAAATTCTTACTCAGCTTTATGGCTGGTTAAATAATCTTAACTAAGTTCTCTAATTTTAAAATTCTTTAGTGTTAGTTTCTTGCCATAATATTCACAACTTAAATTTACTCAAAGGGGTTTAAAGAAAATCTGATGCCTTTATACAGTTCATTTTGTTAAGTCTTTGAATGGTGGTGTAAATAAACTCTAAGGTGGTCCCATCCCACCTCCTGATATCTGTGCTTTTTAAAAATCCTGCTTCTAGAAGGTGGAGCCTATGGCCTGCTTCTAACAAAACAGATCGCATTTGACAGATGTGACCCCATGATTATGTCTGCCACACAGCAAAAGTGGCAGGCTGCCATGCCCATGATTTTCTTACAGTATCTGACAGAGAGGATGGAAGACCCCTTCAGTGGTTATGTTACACAGCAAAAATCATCATGGTGACTGTACTGCATTCCTTGCAGCCCCTCTCTTCCTCTCCACTGCCAGCTTTAAAAGATGACATGAATCCCATGACCACAAGAACTCTTCTGATAATAACCAGAGGGAGTTTAAAAGTGAATTTTCTCTCAATATAGACTTCAAATGAGAGCTAAGTCCTGGGCAACCCCTTAACTGGAGGTTTCTGAGACATTCAGCAGACCCAGAGACTCTGTGCCTGGACATCTGACCCAGTTCAACCTCTAAATTTGTAATCATTTTTTGAATCTCAACAGAAAATGAATATGCATGTAAAATCTCAAGTAAGTAGGTAACTTTTGGTTTGGTTTATTTGCAGTAATGACATTGAACCCAAGGCCTTGTGCTGTCAGATAAGCAGCTCTACTGCTGAACCATGTCCCTAGCACTACAATTCCTTTTAATGCCTTAGAGAAGTATCAAGAGGTCACTCAGGTTTTTATTAGTCTACATTTAAACAATATTTTCGCTTATAGAAGAAAAAGGAGAAAGAGAAAGTTCTGATACTGAAGAATAGCATTCTTTATTTCAAAAAGATATTGGACTTTATTTTGTAGTCCATAACTGTGCATGTAAATGGATGTAAAGTAACAGAACTTTATTTAAGGGCTCAGTATTTGTTACTATGTGTGGTATGCATTCATAAACACACTATGATGACTGCATACAAACTATGCAGTGTATGTTGAAGTGTAACTTCTTTGGCTCAAGCTGAAATTTCTAATACCATTTATAGTATGCACCTAAGATGTAAAACTATTACAAAGTAGAATGTATTGTGTAAAAGTTCACCTCAAAAATGCATTTCCTCCCTATTTCATGTGATATTCCTCTAGCCACATGATAATGCAATTCATAATATGCATGACTCAGAATTGATTTTTCAGAAACCATTCTAGAAAAAAAAAGGTATTTTCGTGACAAATTGTCAATTAATGTAATGCACCAAAGTTACATACTTGACAATTTTGGAATTTAAAATATAAAATCTGCTTTTAAATTATTTTCCCCATAAATTACATCGCAGTGAGTCACCATGCACCAGAAAACTCTTCTATGGTTCCACTCAGGTCAGGGGCAAACTGTAAAGCTACGTGAAATTCCCGCATCCATCAGACATCTTTTGAACACAAAACCTTGCATACCCATCCTTCCTGCATCTCGGTTACCCAGCTTTGTTTCTTCCCCACCAGAACAGAGATCTGACTCTTCTCGTTACAGACTAAAGCGATACTTGCTCTGTCCCTTCCCTGCCCCTGTTTTGCATTTGACATTTACTAGCAGAAGTTTGCACTTCTGCATAAAAGCCACAAGAGAAGCAGATGACCTACAGTCTGCCTTCCCAGATGATCTGTGCTAGTTCCAAAACATGTTTTCACAACCTAGAGACTTTTAAGTCGTCTTTACCCAAATAAACATATTTCTTTTCCCTATACTTCATGTAGGTATATATAAAATGCTACATTCATGTAGGCTATTCTTTAACATAATAACCCTAGAATATGTGAATAAAAGTAATACTAGGTAATTACAGATAAGTTTATAAGCTCTTAAGGAAACATAAAAATATTATCTATATAAGTATTAATGTGCCTGTATCTGAACACTTGGTAATGCAAGAGTGACCCTAAATATTTGCCTTCCCATTTTTCAAAGACAACATGATTCTCTAGGCAGCATTTACAATTTATCTTTTAACTTTTTCTATCAGGTAAATAAAAAGTATGCAGTGAGAACTACATAGAATGGAGGCAACACTATTGTATTGCAGGTGGTAAGGGGAAAGGACCCATGGTGAAAAGTGCACATTGATCACAGGGGTTACGGTAAAAACAGACGCCCGGTTAACACGATAAGATCAGGAACACCGAGGGAGATAAACAGGAGGACTTACAGCTGGGTATGAGACAGCCAAGCTCAGTTGATAAGGACAGAGACTCTGAAGCAAAGTCAGTGATGAGACTGGATGGCCAGCACCCATGAAAACCCCAGGGAACATGTGCAAGGCACTGTTGCCCTTTCACAGAGTCTTGCTTCTCAAGCAGTTAACTGTGAGAAAAAAATGCAGATAAGGGATGGCCTCTAATACAAAGCTTCTATTTATTCCAGAAAGGAGAACACCCCATATCACCCAACAGGCAAATGTAAGAACAAAGAGACCATAGTTTAATTAATAGCCAACAACACATCTGCAAGGTCAGTGACTAGCAGGCTAAAAGCCAACAGACAGGCAAGGTCAGGAGCAACAAAGTGTAAGTCAGTGATGAACATAATGGAGGTTCAATTACCCTAACAGGGTGGGCAGCACTTGAACAGGGCATGACCATCTCCAAGGATGGAGCAGAGGGATATGCATGGGTGTGTTGGCTTCGCCCAGGATATCCCACTGAAATGACCAGTCTCAATAGAAATGAACAAAGTCTTTGTCAAGTTTTTGCCATATGTCTCATACATATATATATAATATATAAGTCAGTGATGAACATAATGGAGGTTCAATTACCCTAACAGGGTGGGCAGCACTTGAACAGGGCATGACCATCTCCAAGGATGGAGCAGAGGGATATGCATGGGTGTGTTGGCTTCGCCCAGGATATCCCACTGAAATGACCAGTCTCAATAGAAATGAACAAAGTCTTTGTCAAGTTTTTGCCATATGTCTCATACATATATATATAATTATGTATATGTATATAAATCAAGACAAACAATCCAGTTTTTTTTCTCTTGAAAATATCTCACTCTCAGGAGTTTTTCCTTTACTTTCTCACTTTTCCTTAGTCTCTCTTAATAAAGTTTTTTGCACTTTACTCAAGAGCCACTGTCTTAAGCTGATTTGAGGTGACCTTTGGGTTTCTGCATCCTAAATCCCCGGGTCACACACATCTGGGCTGAGAAAGGACCAGTTGCTCTCAAAAACTGCAAAATAAAAATTGAATTTGGCAAAAACCCATGAGAGTCTCGCCCTTTATGTTTAACTTCTTAGAAGACAGGCCTTACCATAACAGTCCTCAGCACCTGTGACCTCTTTTTCCATGGTTCTCATGAGGTTTAGGCCCTCATCTTCAACCTTAACTTCTTGCCCCTGTTGTCACTGTGAAGGTGAGAAGAGGCTCACCACCATCTTTGTTTATTACCCTTTAACAGTTTGAACAGAACCATTTATACTTCCCTGTTATAAATGCTCCCCAGAGACTACTGAGTTTAATTAAGCAAACATAAAGTTTTGTAACCCATCAAATTAACCTATGAAAGGTAGCACAATAATTGTATTTTGTCACTGTACTCACACTTGACTCCAAGCAGTTCTCAGTATTTTTATGTGCATAATCAGTAAAATATTTTCCTTACTTTAATGGCCAGTGTTAGAATGAACAGGCATGTGTATCACTTTGTTACATTATCTAACTCATCACTTAGTTTCCCTAATGTCTGCTTAGAATCTAAGCTTCACTGGTTGAAAATTATTTAAGAAGCAAAAACAACAATCTAAGAACTTAAATAAAGGTCAGTGCTGCAGTGAAATGAGATGTCAGCTTCACAATCTGTACTTTCCCACTAAGCCATGCAGAGTTCATCTAGAAGAGTCTAGAGAGATTTGTGAAACAAGTCAATTCTAAAGGTCTCTACAACCTATCAAAAGCGACTCTCTTCCTCTTCCACGGCACGGTGAAGGCCAGGGATGAATTTCAAAATTTGCTTCCGGACACTTCCCCTTCTGCTTTTCCGGGGCAGTGTCCCAAACATGCTTGAGTAATTGCCCTCCCACAGCGGGGACAAAGACCCACTGCTAGTGGCACTGATGCTCCGGTTCCTCCTTGAAGTATTCCTCAAAAATTCATCCCCATCCTTAGAGACAAAACACTCGTCATCTGTGCTTGTCTGACGACTGAAGGCACCCCGACTCGAGTCCTCCGACACACAACCATCCTCGCTGTCCACCGTCATGGAGCTCAGCCAGCTCTTACAGCTGCTTTCGCTGGACAAGCGGTTCTGGTCCAAGAGCGCTGGGCCTGACCCAGATAGGCTTCCAAACAAAGACAGGTCATCCAGGTACGTGTTTTCCAAACTTGGGCAGCTGGCTGCATCACCTGTAATGTGCACAAAAGTGGATGTGGATGGATGTGACCAACAGTCCCTACAGGTAGCACACCCAACTTTAAAGAACGGCAAGGAACCAAAGACAAAGACTCTTGCCTGAGTTTTTACTTGCACGAACATGTGATTTTAAGAGGTCCTTTGATAAGCCATATTAAGAGGAGTTTCCCAAACTATTGATCATGGACTAGCTTCTAAGAGAAAGATCATGAAAATTATGTTAAAATAAACTTAAACAAGATGCTTCTTTCTGTCCTGTGAATTTAGAATGCCCTCCAAAAAGCTCACTTGGTTAGGGCCTGGTCCCCAGCATGATGCCACTGGGGCATGGTGAAAACTTTAAGAGATGCGGCAGAGGGAGAGGGTTTAGGCCATTGGGGATATGTCCTGGACTTTGGCTGTGTGGTCCTGGTCCCTTCCTCTTTCTCTCTTTCACTCCCCACCAAGAGAGCTGCTTTCCTCTGCTGCATGCTTCTGCCATAATGGGCCATCACAGGCTCCAACCCATAGGGCCAGTGATCATGAACTGAAACCTCAAACTGTGAGCCAAGAGCAAACCCTTCAACTTTCTAAGTTGATTTATCTTTGGTTATAGTGACAGGTAGCTAGCACATTTTACATAAGAACAGTTCAACCCAATGGACAGCGTGACAATGTGATTTATGTCTCCAAGAGATAATTCCTTAAACATATGTGACCCCAGAACATTTTATCAAAAATGCTCAAAGAAATGAGGTTAAAATAAGCACTTGGAGATATGTTGCCAAGGATTCGCTACATTTAGTTTTTCTGATTCTTAATAGCTGTTATTTATTTATTCATTCATTCATTTATTATTTTACATGTATGAGTATTTTGCCTGCATGTATGTAAATGTACTCATGTCACACAACGCCCATGAGTCCAGAAGAAGGCATCAGATTCCTCAGGAGCTGGCTGTGAGCTGGTTGTGAACTAGTTGTGAGCTGCCACGTGGATGCTGGGAAATGAACCTGGGTCCTCTGCAAGAACAGCCAGTGTTCTTAACCACTGAGCCATTGCTCCAGCCCCTTAATAGCTGTCACTAACAAATAATCACAAATCTATTGTAAAGCCATTTAAAGTATATGGGAAACACGGTTTTTTAAACCAGGGAATTCAAAGATGTTTTTAAAAGAAAAGATTTTCTGAAATTAATGATATTTTCCAACCCCAATGTTCCAGTTTTCCTCTTGGAATATTTAAATGCTCTAGGATGGTGCTGTACTTAGAGAGCATCTCTGTCCTCAAGCACGTGCTTCAGAAACCTGAATTTTATCTGCTTGGTCAACTTTTTTCATAGACCCTTCATAACCTATAGATTCTCTAAAATGAAAGGTGAATCACCCACCAACATCCTGTCTTGCCCCACCTGCCTCCCACCATTTGAGTCTGCAGATATGCTTAGAAAAGTATGATGAGAATGTGAGTCTCTTTCAAGAAAAGGCACAGAATACCACACACAAGTGAGGTTTCACTATGTGGACCATCTACGCTTCCCTGTGCCTTTGGTTAAAAATGCAAAAAGAGACTGCTCTTCAGTCATCTGACCTGAGAGACTGAACATGGCCAGCCCACGTGGTACTTGCCTTTCTGCTCTACAACCTACTTTACTTCATCTCACAGAAGCTCATAAACCTCCTTAATGGGAGAGGAACTGCTTTGCAGAATTGCGGATTCTGGATGCTTACTCTTCTAGTTCTAATAAAAAATAGATGGGAGGGTGGGGTGGAGAAATACCTCAGTGGTTAAGGGCACTGGGTGCTCTTGCAGAGGACCCAGGTTTGGTTCCCAGCAACTACATGGTGTCTAACAACCATCCATAACTCCAGTTCCAGGGGATCTGACACCCTCTTCTGATCTCCACGGGCACTACATGACACTAGTGTGCTTGCATACTGTAGGCAAAACACTCATACAGATAAAATAAATATAATAAAATATTTTTAAAACACACCAAGAAAACAATAAGAACAACAAAAAACAAGATGAATGAACACCCTCTCTCCCTCAGAAAATAAACAGCATGACCTGTGAGGCTCCTGGCCTGAAATCTACTCAAGGCTGTTCCTGTAGAGACTATACAAGCCCTAGCTGTTCAGGAGCCTCCAGTAGCACATCCCAAGGCTTCTCAGGGACCTTGTGTCTATAAAGCCAGGAAGTGGTTGAACAGCAATGCAACAAAGAAGTTGTGTCTTTCTAAAAAAACACTTTTGACTCTCAGAAATCTAGTATGAATTTATTAAAACTAGTATCTGAAAGGGCTGCACATAGTGGCACATGCCTGTAATCCTAGCATCAGGAGCTCAACACAACAAAATCCTGTCTCTAAGAACAAAACAATATTTAACTGAAATACATAGAAACATGAAGTATGCAGGCAAGATGGCTTAGTGGGAAAAGGTGCTTGCAGCCAAGCCTGACGACCTGAGTTCAATCACTGGGACCCACATGGTAGGAGAGATTGACTCCTACAAGTTGTCCTCTAACCTCCACAAACACACTGTGGCATGCATGTAACTTATGCAAATTTCAAACATAAAAGTTTTAAAAAAAAAAAAAGAATTCAAACCAAAATTCTAAGTTACCAATTAATGACTAATGATTAAGTTGTATTTTAGGGTCTATAAGGAATTCCAAAAACTAGAAAATAAAAGACAATAAGATAGGTGCCAACAAAGACTTGGATAGATATTTGTCCAAAAAAAGACATACAGTTGGCCACCAGGTATATGAAAAATGTCTGGCATCAATCATCTGGTAACCACAAGTCAAACCAGAGTGAGACTGACTGCTCCTCTGTAAGAATGCTCACTACCAAGAAGACAGCTGATTAAAAGTGATGGTGCAGGTATGGGGAAAAAAAGAAGTCCTTGCCCAGTGTTGGGGTGATTGCAAATGAGTTCATTCCCTATGGAAAACAGTATGGGGCTTCCACGAACCACTCAACATGGCACTACCATATGATCCAACACTGCCATCACTATGCATATATCCAATGCAGACAAAATCGGTGTGTCAAAGAAATCTTGCACTGCCATGTTCACCACAGCATCATTCACAACAGTAGAGATATGGAAACAATGCAAGTGTCTCTCAACTATAGAAGAGAAAAAAAATATGGTACATGCACACAGTAGAACACTATTTGTCCCTGAAATTCTGCCACTTGTGACAATATATATGCAAGTGGAGATCTCTGTGTTAAGTGAAATAATCCAAATACCAAAAGATAAATGCCAAATGATCTCAAGTATGTGCGCAATTTGAAAAAATTGATCACATAGTTGTTGAGAGCAGAATGGAGGTCATCAGAGAATAGGGGGAGATGAGAGGAAAGGGTACAGGGAAAGCCTGGTCCATGGGTACTAAGTTACAGTTAGGGAGGAACAAAAAGTTCTGGTATGTTATGCACGGTAGGATGACTATAGATAGCACGAATGTACTGTACACTTCAAAAGCTAGAAGGAAGGATACTGAGGGCCTTTGTTACAAAGACATGAATGTTTGAAGAGATGCCCATATGCAACTGACTTAAACATCACACAGTGCATGACTGTATCATGATATCCATTAGTACGTACAATCTTTATGTTTAAATTAGCTTTAAATTGTATCTTTTTCTAGAAGTTGTTACCATTTGAACAAACATTCCACATTATAAATAGAAACTAGAGCTGAGTGTTACCTGAAGAAATGACCCATATTCACACCCACAGATAGAGACTTCAGTGAATTGCTTGAACATTAAGCTCATTCTTGCCAGGCATGGTGGTGCATGCCTAGAATTCCATTTCCTAGGAGGCCGAGGCACAAAAACTGTAGCTTGGTCTACTTGTTGAGTAGAGGGCTATCCAGGGCTATATAGCAGGACCCTGTGTCAACCAACCTCCCATTAAAGAAGCTTACTCCTCTAGTAATATAACAAAGAACAAATCAGCAAAGTAACTCAAATCTTCCCTTCACAATAAATGCATTCAGTAGCAAGAACTACTGTTGGTATAATAATCTTACATGCCTGTCTTGGTCCTGGGACCCATGAAACAGTACTTCTCTATATAAGTATATAAGTATATAATTTATTTTTATTTTTATTGAATTTTTGTGAATTTCATACAATATATTTTGATCATATTTAGACCCACTTCCCTATCGGCACCCCTTTTAAAGCCCCCTGCCAAATTTCATGTATTCTGTCATATATGTTAAGGCTATCAAGCCAAGTCTGTGTCCCTAAATATCCTTTGCTGTGTGTCCATCTACTGGAACCCGGTTAACCTATTTAGTGCCACACCCTTGATGAAAAAGAACTCTCCCTCTCCCAATAGTTATTGGTTGTCAATAGTTTCTCAGCCAAAGTTGGGGCTTTTTACCTATTTCTCAACTTCTATGCTGGATTTTTGTCTGGTTTGAACTTTCATGCATCTTGAGCATGCTGTTACCACTGCTGAGAGTTCATATGAGTAACTTCCTAGCTGTCCGGAAAACTGTTTCCTTGTGGTCATTCACTGTCTCTGGCCCTTACAATCTTTCTGTGCCCTCTTCCACAATGGTTGCTGAGCCTTGGGTAGCAGAGGTTTGATAGTGGTATCCTTTCAGGGATAAGCACTTTGCAGTCTCTTATTCTCTGCACTTTGGCTGGTTGTGGCTTTCTAAATTAATTACCATTTGTTGCCTAAGGAAGCTTAGCTGGTGAGACCTGCAAGATGCATTTTATTTCTTCCCCCTTAATATTCTTTCTTCTCCTTCTTCTGCTATGTTCCCTGAGCCTTAGGTGTGGAGGTTGATGGTAGGAGTTCTATCTAAAAAGTGTGTAACCATTCCAGTTTAAACAGCCCCTAAGCCATGATCATTTTCAGGACTCTAATTCATTGACTGATGTAGTAGATATGGTGGGCAATGTTTCCTACTGCTCTTCTGAAATCTCTAGTCAAGCATGTATGTGCAGGTTTTCATATGCGTATGTGTTATCTGTATGAAGAGGAGGGTGTGACTTGACTTACCTTTCCTCCAGATACACAAGCCATTCCAAAGTTAAGCCTAACAATACATATACTAATATCCTTGGCTTATGCTAACTAAATTCTTATTGTAATAGCAAAATCTTAAAAGAGTTTGGGGGGAGAAATACTGAAAGGATGACATGAGAATGCGGTTTCCTAACAGGAAATCTCACTTACCATGCAGCAAGCGCTGTTCCTGTAAATGCAGAGACCTGAACTCCACCCATTTTTTCTTTAAGGTTTGCTGTGAGAAAGGTAAAAAGAACAAAGTTCTAATCATTAGGAAAGCCAAAGTGAGAAAAGCAACTGAATTCTGAGTACTGAGACTTGTCATTAACAACCCTGGCAGTGCTACCCACACCTCACCAGCCACTCCCATTCGTTAAAACAATTCTGCTGAATTATAGGCGAGTCTCATGAACCAGCAAGTCTTTTCGTAAAAAAACAAGAGAATCAATAAACTTATGTATTATTATTTTTTAAAGATAGAATAGATCATTTAGGTTTGTAGGAAATTTCTAGCTGTTTCCTCACGTCTGACAAAGGCAGCGATGGAATGGAGACTCTGCAATCTTAGGTAGAGTCAATGAGGTAACATGTGAAATGTTTGGAACAGAAACTAGAACTTAGCAAACACTCTGAAAATGCATTGTTCATTAATGAGTCTGGGCACTGAAATAGCCTTTTTGTTGTTGTTAGGCATGTATATGCCCAAAATAATATACGATGAGTATACCCCCAAAATATACTCATTGGTAGGGCACATATTCATCTTCTACCCCCAAAATTAGTAGGATAAACTTATAATAGCCCAGGTTAACTTTGAACTCACTACAAAGTTGAGGATGATCTTGAACTTTTTATTTTCCTGTCTCCAACTCCCAAGTGCTGGTATTACAGACATGTACCACCTTGTCCAGATTCTGGATATCAAACCCAAGGTGTCACGCATACTAAGCAAGCACTCTTCTAACTGAGCTGCATCCATCCCTGACTCCTTAACTGCTTCCTCCCTTGGCTGCCCACCAAATGAGGGAAATGACCACCTAGAGGACCAGGTGACTGTGGGAACAGTCATCCAACACACAAGGCCTGGCCCAGTCCAGCTCACAGAGTGGCCAAGCCAATGGATGTCAAAGCAAACAAGGAAGAAGCCATTGGGAAAGGCAAATGTCATAGACTCATGCCTCTTCCTATTTCTTGTCCCAGCACCACAGCTGCCTTTGCTCTTTGAGCACCCCAGAGCAAGGCCAGCAAATGAACACAGCTCAGACTTGCCAGAACACTTATTCTAAAGGAAAGATAGCCTAGTTGGAAAGGGATAGTCCTTTGAACATCATTAAGTAGCAGGAATTGCTACTTGGTCTGCAGATCTAACAGTAACCTTGCTTACAGCAGCATTTCTAAGCAAACTTCATGATTGTCTATAAAATAGTCACACAACGAAAGCAACAAAGTGCTTGGTTCCAGTAATTTCTTGCTCTTTCTGAATCATATCAGCCCACAGTAATTATCAGATGGTTGGCAGCATCAGTCACAACTTTTGTTATCCTGTAAACCTCTGGTTATGTGAAGGTCAGAAGCAGAGGTCAAGGGAGTACAGGACTAGCAAGAGCTGCTGTGTATACCTACCCATTTCTTCTTGATAAAGAGAGTTGTCTCCTATAAGAGGATAGAGCACAGTCTTCTGTGCACAATCAAAACTAAATATACAAAGACAAAAAGTTATCTTTGTGCATTTAATTTTTCAAAAGTACATGAACAGGGATTTCCAAATAGTTAATGTTTGTGATTCTAAGGTTTTAAGATGGCTAATTTGTTAATCTAGCCTGCCCAGTCATTTAAGCAATGACTTACACCAAAAAAAAAAAAAAATGTAAAGAGTAGATGTATCAAAGTAACTGCTTTCAATCTGAAACTCTTTCCTTATTTCCTCAGAGTTGCATCTGCCTGTGTTATTCCCATCACAATCATACATTTGGACAAATCTCAACTCTCTCCATCAGAGGAGTATCACAACATGCATGAGATCTGGACGTACTTGGAGCTAGTTCCAAATATGCTTCGGCTATTTTCATTCTACACACAACAAGTAACATTTCCCTGGAATGTAAGCCTTTTATTGTTTTTGTAATTTCTCTAAAAAGTTAAAGGTAGAAAACAAAGTTTTATTGCATCAAAATATTTTTACGGTGTACAGACATAGCAAATACCAGAGCTGAATTTAAAACTAGCTCTTGTAACAAGGTCATTGTTTGTGTTCAGCATCTGAATCATCGGTCAGAATAAAGGAAATCCCTGAGACTGTGACTCAGAAGACTACTAGTTCCAAAGAAGAGCTTTTGGGCCCTACACAGAGTTTTAGGAAGAGAATGCTCACTTACATAGAATACTGAGTAAATGTTTTTGTGCAGAGGAGAAGCCAGCCTGATCTTAGTTTTAGGTGATTCCCAGCCATTTCTGTTTCAGGAAATTATCTACAAATTTCATAATTTCAATGTTAGTTGTAGGACACAAAGGCCAGATAGTAAATAGAAATGAACCTCAAGATATGTTGGGAAAAAGCAAAATGAGGTAGTTAAGAATTTAGATCTTGTCATAATATGTTGTTTAAATGCATCTATTTGACAAAAAGGAACCAAGTCAAATTTCCAGCTTGAGAAATGAACCCCAGCTAAACATCATGCAGTAAGAAAAGGAGATTGAGAAAAGATGCCATGGAACCTAGAGAGACAGAAGCACAGCAAAATCTCATGATCTGAACCAGACTGTGCAATGACTCTCCAGGGAAGGCAGCCAAGCTGGAAAGGGACCTTTGAAGCACTGTCAAAGGCAAGGTGTAACTATCCCACAGACCTGAAGGAGAGGCAACAATCAACTCGGCAGTCAACTGATAATCAGTACATGGAGTCTTTCCATGAAAATAAGAATGCTTATAATCTCTGAGAGAAAAATGAAATTAATGTCATAAGCACAAAAGAGTGGCAAGAATAAGAACAGACTGACATTAAAAAAGGAACTGCTTGGCAATAAAATAGAAAACATATTTCAGATCTCAATAGAAGGAATGCATTCTATACTAAATACAGATAACAAGAATATTACTGAAAATACTATCAATGAGGACAAATCAAGAGGCTCTAACAGAATTGTACAAGATAATGTAGGATGCAATGAAAAAGACACAACCCAAGATATGGTTTTCCAGAGTTGGAATCACTGTCTTTAGACCAAAAGCATGTTCTAGTTTTAAACAATATAAATTAAAGTGTGAATCTAGACCTAATTAATTTGTAGTGAAAGTAGTCGGGGGAGGGAGAGGGAAAGAGAGAGTGAGAGAGAGAGAGAATAATGCAAGTATTGAGTTTTTAAGAATTTAAAAATAGAAAGTTCTCTAGAGAAAATTACCAAGGAAAAAAGCAAAGAAAACTTGAAAATAAGTACAAGTAAAAATGGCAACATAAGATTAAAATGTTGAGGTTGAAATTTTTATCATCAAATCCATATTATATGTTCAAAGATTAGAAAACCTAACAAAAACATAACTCACTAAAGCTGTTCCAGAAGGAATGCCTGAGTAGTCTTACTAGTAATAAAGAAACTGAAACAGTGGGTTTTAAAAGGACTCCCTCAAAAAGAACCCAAGTTCATATGATTCATTTGCTATTATAAAAACTCTACCAGAGGACAAAAAGAGGGGCAATCCCCCAGCTCACAACATAAATCCAGTAAACTTGATACTAAAACATAAAAATGAGCCTGAGAAAATAAAAATATAGGTCACTCAACCTGTGGCAGGGGGCTATTTTCAAAATTCACCAAAAGTAGCAAAGCAAACATATAAGTATATAAAATGATTATAAATCTCAAGGTAAACTATGCTGCGTTTATCTTCAAGATAAAGGGGTGGTTGGTTTTACATTAGAATAAAATGTTAATATCAATAATCATAATAGTTTTTTTAGATTAAGAAAATTGTGTGTGTGTGAGTGTGTGTGCGCGCACATGCATCTGCATGAGTATATATGCACCACGTGCATGCAGTGCCCACAGAGGCCAGAAGAGGATGTTATCCCTTGGAACTGGTGGTTGTGAGCTGTCATGTGGGTGCTGAGAAGAGAGCTCGGGTCCTCTGCAAGAGTAGCCAGTGCTCTTAACTGCTGAGCCATCTCTCTAGGTAGATATTTTCAATGAAACTTTGTGAGGCCCTACTTATTAAATGCTGGGGAAGGTATTTAATAAAATTTAATGCATAATCTTAGAAAGGGAGCATCCTGAGCCTGAGGTATGTTCATAACAGAACTCCTTCCTAATGAGAAAGAACAGAATTATCCTTAAAGGGCACACTTAGGATGGCTACTATTATTTCCACTCATCTAGGTAAATCCTTGCCCTCACCATCAGAGTGCAGAAGAAAAGGAACCAAATTCATTTTGAACACTCCAAATAATCTGCAAGTGATTTAGTAGAAATTATGTAGTTTAACAAAGTGTTTGACTATTAACAAAGCATAAAAATGGCTGTTTATATCTAGATATCAACCACAATCAAATATTTATTTTATAATAAAATAATAATAATAATAATAATGCGTAAAGAACAAAGTCTAGCAAAGTACTCTAAGGCCTATATGTAAAAAATTATCAGACTTTATGAAAAATGTAAAGAAAGATAGTAAAATAGTTACGATAATCAATAAGAAAATGAATACTAACAGCTAATGTTCTTGGCATTGACCTATCTATATAAAATGAGACACCAATCAAAAGTCTTAATATTTATTTATGGAACTTAATGATTTGATAGATAATCAAAAGACCAAGAACACCATTATGCAGTCAGGCATTACTCTTTATTATGAACTAAGTTGGCAATAAATAAATTGACCAGAAGGTCACAATAGGGAGCATGTAAGTAAATACATATACATAAGCTTAAAACTTGCTTTAAATTGTAAGTTTCATTGCAATTCATTTGAGGAGAAAAACAACTATCAAACAAATTGTACTAAGAGAACTAGTTGCTCATATGGGGAAAACATTCAAATTTTCCAATACTTGATAGAATATACAAAATTTATTTCTGAATGAATCAAGGACTTCAATACAAAAAAGAAAAAAATAAAATTTTAGGAAAAAAGGAAATGTAGATTACTAACCATGGTTCAACATTTAGGAGCTCTTATGAACAAATATATTGAAAGTGGTCACGGTACTAAGGAAACAAAATTTAGAATCGGTCAACCTAGAATACCTAGAAAAACTCTCTTTCAAGAGTAGCAGAAAAATAAAGACATTTCTGACAAAGATCTACTTATCGTTATAAAAGGATGTAATATGCAAGAACGAAAAAAACCTCACAGATCAGATCAGAATGCAAGAAATCACAGTACACACAAAAGCTGAACACAGTAGTATGTTTTATATCAGCTATTCACAATAAAAATCTCACCTTATGTAATGTTTAATTGATGAAATGCTCTAAAGTAAATAAAAATAAGGAAGATGAGTTCATAAATGTACATTCAAAGGATTCATTATTCTTGAAGAGAGTGGAGGTAGTGAAATATTTGTACATTGTTAGAAAAAAATAGTTACATGTGTATGTTAAGATTAAGAAGATGTTCAAAAAGTAGGAATTGTTTAAAAGACTGAAAGAACATTTTACTCACATAAGTGCTTTGTTCCATGAAATATAAACCTATATTATATAAAATCACAAGTCTATTTTCTATTTTTCTTTCTCTTTATACAAAATGCTGAAAACTTGGCATTTGAAAAAAAAATGTTCACTAAGACTACCTACTGTTTGCAAAAATAAAATTTGGCAGTTTTTAAAAAACCTGACCATAATATGAAGCACTTATTACTTCTTGTAAAAATACAATGAAAAATATTAGAAGCAGTCCTTTAGAATCAAGAATATTACCACTATTTACCATACAATGAAGATCCTAGCCAATGCTATAAGAGAAGAAAAGTAAATTAGTTGAATTCTTGAACTAAAGGGACAAAACTCAAAATATAAAAGATTAGCAGTCTTTTAGTAAGAAAAGCTAGAGAATTTAAGAATAAATATGATGAAAGTTGTGAAAATGTATGTAGAAAATTCTAAAATATTCTGAAGAATATAAAACATTTGAATAAAAATGGAAATGTTATATTTAAAGTGAGAAAATAAAAGTCATAAAGATTTCAATTGTCCTTATTTATTTTATAAGATTCAATTCTGATCAAAATCTGAGCAGAAGGCTTTTTTCAATAATTTTAAAAATTGATTTAAAAAATCACAGAGATGGACAAAATGGCAAGAGTATAGAACGTCAATGAGGATTGCTAATGATCAGACATGGTGAAAAGGACTCAAGGAAAAATAGAAATGCAGTGAGTCTGTCTCCTTGAACTCAAGAATTAATAATGTAGTTTGTGAAGAAAATTAATAAATGGCAGATTTTTATAAAGTATAAGTAAGTAACCTGTCTGTCTGTAGTAAGCCAAGCAATTTCTGTTTAGACTGGGCACTTCACTGGCCTGCAGGGAAGGACTTGTATGAAGAGGTAAGTTGGGCTGTGGGAGGGATCCATAGGGCTAGGACCCAGATACACCAGTGAGTATCTGGAGTTCATGGCTTGACAGACTCTCACCAGTCTGAGATTTTTTAAAACCTTCAATGGGTCAGCCCAAGGAATTTTCACTGAACGCCCTGAATCGTATCCTGTCACATATGATCTTTTTCTTTCCTTTCAAGGTTAATAGTGTGCTTGCCTACAGAGGCAGATTCAAGGACAGCCACAGGCTTAGTGAGATATAGATAGATGATAGATTGATAGATGATAGATATACAGATAGATGATGATGATAGATAGATGATAGATTAGATAGATGATAGATAGATAGATAGATAGATAGATGATAGATAGATAGATAGATAGATAGATAGATAGATAGATAGATAGATAGATAGATGATAGATGATAGTCGATAGATAGATAGATAGATAGATAGATAGATAGATAGATAGATAGATAGATAGATAGATAGATAGATAAGATAGATAGATGATAGATAGATAGATAGATAGATAGATAGATAGATAGATAGATAGATAGATAGATGATAGATGATAGTCTGTTTTAAGAATGGTGTAGGATGTCAAAGAAGCACACTGAAAAAGCAGAAGTCTCAGGCCTGCCAGCACACTGTGAAGCACACAAGAAGTTGAGGAAAACACCAGCTCTCTCTTTTTCCCCTCAAAAAATGTAAATCAAATCGAGAGATCACAGGTGCGTCGATGACTAGTTCTTCAAGTAATGTGCCTTTCTGAGCCTCCTAGACTCTCTGAAGAGGAAGGAAGAGAGTGATTTACACCTATTCACAGAATCTGATATTCTTGCAAAGGTAATTGTGTGGCCCTTGACAATTCAGCAATTTAGATGTATCCTGGCTTTCACCTTCAAGGGCTATCTCAATTTCTCAGAGAGATCTTTATTCTACCACTCACACATTCAAGGATGAAAAGTGTGCTGTGTTAAATCAAATTACCTTTAAAGCCTGCAGCTTTGCTTCAAGCTCTGCTCTTCTGTGAATCATTGTTCCATTAAGAGTCTCTATCCTATTTCAAGAGAAGAAAAAGGTGGGGTTAAATAATGGAGTTATTTCTTCAAACAGGTACATCTTTATGAAGTACTGAATTTGGAGCACAGACTATACTAAAAAAAGCAACAGAAACCCTATACTTCTTAAGACACTTGAATTCCGAATGCAGACCCTTAAGTATCTGACCCTAAGCCAAATCTCCTAACTGAGGAAAAGACAAGGGAAAGAAAAATTGCCTATGAAAGAATATAAAGTCATATCCTGGTTAAACTACAAGCCATAGCTCATTTTGTAGAAGGCACTATGTGCTGATGAGGCCTGCCCTCCACTAGAATCTATTCTCATGTGGACTGGCTGAGTAACCTCATTCACTTGGTTAACATTTGTTGGGCATCTACTATGTCTCAGATACCATGGTACCAAAATGGTAGATGCTCAATCTGCTATTTCTTGAGATGGGGAGAATTTTCTCCTTCCTAGGATTTTGGGAACCAATATGTCTGTAAATCGTTTTACGGGACTTGAACGACTATAGCATAATAATCTTTGCATGACTGTTTCATCTCAAAACCTTTAGATTACAAATGGCAGTCTTAGAATTATTAGTTTAACAGTGCTCTTTTCTTCCTACATCAAAGATTTCCTAAAAATAGAAGGCTTGTTCTAACTGGATTTGGTCTATTTTCTGCACTCAAGTTAAAGACCATTGTTTTGACTATGAAATCATCCATCTGGCTATGATAGCAAATTTCAACTTTGAATCATGCAACTAAACATTTCTAAAATATTTTTTCTAATTCCCTCTGACAACTAAGCTATAATTATATTTATGAAGGTACAAGAAATAATTTAAGACATGGTAAAAGTGTGGGGACCAACTTTTCTCTATTACTAACGACAGCATATCCATGATAATGAGATGATAGTATGCCAGATGCTGTCTGTATTCTGATTAAGACAGTCTGGGTCTGTGAGCAATGGAATCCCTATGAGACTGTTTAGCTAAGACTCTCAATGTTAGTCTAACCTGCTAAGCAATAGATGTGCATAGACAAAACTGCCAACAGAGATGGGCCTTCTCTTTAGTACTTGTTCACATTGTCTCACATGGTCCTGATCTGTGGATCTGTCCACTACCCCTTAATTCACCTGTGGTCTTCTTGCTTCATCCATGTGGACCATATCCTTCTGACTCTAACCACTAGCATTTTCTCTTGGACTCTATTTGGTTGCAGGTTTCTTTGGGACTAGAGTGAGCATTCTTAGCTTTTACTAAGACTCAAGAGCTGGACTCTACCACCATCTTTTAAAACTGCCCCCACACATTCACAATGTCCTATGAGGCATCACTGAGGAGCACCCAGGAGATTCTCCTGGGAGCTCACAGTGAGCAACAGTAGCTGGAAGGAAAAGATCCTGGAATCCACAGCAGGTGACCAAATCCAGCCCTGTCACTCACTACCTTAGCTAACCCCTCCTTAGCCTTAAGCACTTCATCTACATAGAGGGATAAAAGCCACCGACACAGGGCAATGGAGAAATGAATTGGATATGTAGAAAAAAGTCTAAACGCCTTAGCAAGATGCCTCTCTTTCCTTAGATGTTCTTACCAGGAGTACCATATGAGCCAGGAGTTTGGCAAGGGCTCAGAGACAGCTCTCTTTACCTAGAAGCTCCTACCAGAAGTCAGCTTCATATGGCTACCCCTTCTCTGCATGTAGTCTTTCAGCTTCCAGCTCTTTTCCTCAAAGAAGACCAGCTTGGACATGTAAGCTCAGCTAGCCACAGTCCATTCAGTGTTCTTTCTACTGCACTATTTTGCGTTCCTTGTAGTGGTTATCAATAATCGCCACAGTGTCGTCTTTCAGAATTTTCTTAGACATCCCCTTCTATAATTAGTAGAGCTTTATCAGTCTTTATATTTGCTTTTGTGCACATATAACAGAGCTAGAAGCTTAGCATTTGCTCAATAAACATAGTTTAATGCAAGACATTATAACTGTTTATTAAGGTCTTATTAGGTTCTTAGAATGTAATAAAAGCAAGCAAAATTCTGTCTTCTCAGTGAGAAAGTTATGACCGTTGTGGGTTTGTTTCCTTCAGATTCTTAATGTCAGTCTGAAAGATAGGGCCAGCTGAGTAGCTGGGCAGCCCAGTATCTTTCTCATAAGTTTAAAATATTCGTACATGTGATCATGTGTGTTTCAGGGAAACACTGGTACGTGTGAGCATGTGTTTCAGGGGAGCATTGGTACATGTGATCATGTGTGTTTCAGGGGAACACTGGAACATGTGATCATGTATGCTTCAGGGGAACACTGGTATGGGTGATTGTGTGTGTTTGGGGGGAACACTAGTATGTGTGATCATGTGTTTCAGGGGAGCATTGGTACATGTGATCGTATGTGTTTTAGGGGAAGGAAAGTTGAACATCCCTCTCCTTAGAGACAAACAATTAACTTGAGGAATAAAGGAAATCTGTTTAGTCATCTGACCTTTTAAAATGTGTTGTAGCTGCAAGATTATACAAACCATGGAAACTGCACTGGTTTCTCTTGGCCAGAAAAAAAATGTGTACCAGTTTCATTGAATCAAACATTAAAAATATATTAGTAAATTATATTCCTCCCACAAAGACCTTTGTCTGTTGATCTCCACTGAGTTCAGATGTTGACAATATGTCTGAGGAAACCTTGAGAAACAATAGGAACCCATAAAAATGTTTGTACCCATCCCAAAGCTGCATTTGCTGCCTCCCTTGTAGTAAGCCCCATACAAAAAGCCTATTCACTCATTCGGCAGGCATTGTCAGACACCAGAACAGCTTTGAAGCCCCACAGGAACTAAACAGATATTTACGTTAGCAGATTTCCTGAGGATCGGATCAGGTCAACCACTTGTTTGTGAGTAAAGCCTTCTGTGCTCACACCATTCACATTTGCAAGGACGTCACCTGGGAGACGCCAAGAAAAATGAGTGTTATATTGGTTACTTAAACAAACCCTCCTGCCATGGGAATGAAACAAAACAAGCAAACTTCAAACTTTAGTGTCACTCAAGAAAATTCAAAGCAACAATCACTTTCTCATCTTAACTGTCAGAGTTTTCTTGCTACTTAAATGGCATCTAGTATGAGCAAAGTTATGTTACCAGTTTCCAGGCCGGCACAGTGAGCTGGGCTGTCCTCCTGCACTTTGCAGATCACAGTATACACTCCCAAGGAGCAGGTGTTCTGAAGCCTGTGAGGCTGTAAAAGTTCAGAGGATACAGAGTTATTCTTCAAAAAACTCAAAACTTATTTATTAAAACATAAAATCATATCAACATCATTAGTGGCACAATAGGTAAGTGCAGAGGACAATTTGGGGAAGACTTTCCTCATGATAAATTGAATCAAAGGTACCAATTTTGCAATTGTACCAATTGGCAGCCAATTCCATTCATAAAAAAACATCTGGCATGAGAAAGAAAGTGGGATGAGAGAGGCTCAAAATTTTCTGTTTTCAAGCCTGAGCGGCCACCTAATGTTAAAGTTACGTATTTATTAAGAAAAAATTCATCTTCTTATTTCTCAATGGATTAAACACTGGAGACCAAGAGCAAAAGGAAATCCTCCTGTGTGTCTTGCAAGCCGAAGTATCATCACAGGAGAGCATGAAATACAACACACCCAGCAGGAAGACTGCCAACAGCGATTATTTCAAATCAGACTTCTGCAAATAATGACAGTCTTCCCTGAAAGTATTCAAAAGTACTCTAATTGACTCAATCACTCTTTTCTGGGGACAACCTGCATTGCCTGCCCTAAATTCTCACTAGTTCATCGGTCACATGACTAAATTAGAAAACACCATGCTTCTCTTCTTGCTTCAATTTGACACAAATAGTTTGGTGGTGCTGGATTTTGTTGTTGCTGCTGTTTTTATTTTTCCTTCAAATTTTAAAAGAAAATAAATAAATATTAGCTAGACATAGTGCCAACAACTCTACTTTCCTTTTTAATACTTTGGAATTGTAGAGTCCAGTTTCCTTTAGAATCAAAAGCAGTGTTTTGAGTTGACTTTTAAAGATACTATTCCTAGGGTTGGAGAGTTGGCTCAGAAGTTAAGAACTCATACTGCTCTTGTAGGGGACCAGAGTTCCATTCCCAGCACCAACATCAAGCAGCTCACAGCTGTCAGTACCTCTAGCTCCAGGGAGATTTGACACCTCTGGCCTCCACAGGTACACACACACACACACACACACACACACACACACAAAAATTAAAAATAAAATAAATAATAAATACCTGATTTCTAAAATTTAAGTCACATCAGAGTACTGCTTTCTTCTAAAGAATACGTGCCTGAGGTTTGTTTCCTCTTAATAATCCTGAGCACTGTAATCAATCATGTGCAAGTCACATCTAGATCCAGAAACTGGGTTCTGTTAAATTCTAAGAGATTTCTGTTCAACTATAAGGCATTTAGAACCCTCTATCTTAAAAGTCAAGCAGCTTTAAACAATTATGTAATGTAATTCCTATCTGTATCAAAGACATTTTTAACAGTTTGTTGTCAGAGACCTCTCTACAGCTCAGATCCTTCTAAAGATGGAAGCTGGTCAGATTTGTATGTAATAAGAACAGAAAACATAATTGATATTTTAGAAATCACCATTGTGACAATTTTCGTTGGCAGAGGAGACCCAGTCTCCACCTACAGTGATCAAAGTGAGTACAATGCAGGAAAAACACTTTGATTCATGTAGCTGGTGAATGCATATGTCATAACAGGTGTAAATTCAGTGATTCAAGACAGAAGGGGAAAGCAGGAGGCACAAAGTTACAGAAAAATATAGGAAGCCAAATAATATCTGCCCCCTCCTTACACCCCCATCTTTCACCTCCCATTCTCCCATGATTGCTCCTCCCTCCCTCCTTTCTCCCTCCCTCCTTCCTTCCTCTATTTCTTTTGTTCTTTCTTCTTTTGATAACACATTGCAGCCGAGGCTGGCCTGGAGTTCCTCCTGCCTGAGCTTCTAAAGTACTAGGATTACAATGCAAGCTATCACACTTTGCTCCCCACACTTCTCACAAATATAAAGATTTCCATGTCCTTTCTTATACCCCAGGACCGGCATTCTAACCCTGTCATTTTTGATACTGTATCGACAGAATGCACATTACTCAATAGCTACTTATAGTCTTTTGTTTAAAATGCTTCAGGACCCAATCTGATAGAAATTGAGAGAATATGAACACAGGTATGCATGCGTATAAATTCCATGTCCTTTCATGCTGCAGAATTCTCATGAGCAGCATAAAACTCATAGCCACAGAGAACCACAGAGTAGAGTAAGGCGGACCTGGTCTCTTCCAAGGTGTCATTCACCTGGAAAGTCAGGACTCCAGTATATATTCACATACTGGATAACATGGGTATGAGCAGTTCTGCCTGGCCTGCAAGAAGTTCCCGAGAGCGTTTATTGACTTCCTGCCTCCCTGAGATGACCCATGCATGCTGTAGCTCAGAGGTAAAGCCATGGAACACGCTGATCTCCACAGGTCCTGTGATTCTGTGGCCCATGGTCTGCTAACAATAGTTTTGACTTTGATTCCACACGTTCGTGTTATGAAAGAGAAACATGGAGAAACAATGGTATGTATCATGCCAGAGCAGGAAAATGAGTGCTCATTTACTCTGTTTTCACAGCAACCGCTCCACATCCTTAAGAGACAGTAACAAACATAGTCTCCTTAGAGAATGGAGAACAGCTCGTGAGTGAGAGACCTATGCTTCTAAAACCTGGTGAATTTAACCAATTTTAGAATACTATAGATTTCAATGATTTATGGTAAATTACAGATTTCACCAAATTTAAAAGTAGAGGAGTTTGGAAAGGAGAAATCTTCTCTCCCACAATCTACTTATCTATTCTGTGTTGTTTCTTTACTGATGAAGCGTGTTTAATATAGCTGCTTTCTGCTCCTGATCTCAAAACATACATTGAATTTCCTCTTGTGGGGCTGATAACACCCAAAACTTTTCTGAAAGCAGGAATGCAGCTAAAGTGTAAGATCTGATGATATACAGGGCCTGAGGAGCTGGCTCGGCAGTTAAAAGCCCTGGCTCCTCTTACAGAGGACCCGAATTCAATTCCCAGCACTCACATGGCAGCTAGCAACCATCACTAACTCCAGTTCCAGGGGATCCAACATCTTCTTTTGGCCTCAGAGGGCATTACACACACCGGTTGTACTTACATATATGTAGGCAAAATGCTCATACACATAAAATAAAAATAAATAAATCAAAAAATTTTAAGTTGGATGTATAGTATACAAATATGATTATGCAAAGCACAGTTAAAAGAAAATAAAAGAGATGTGGGAAAATACATAGACTGCTGCTGCTGCACTTAACTGGACTAGACTCTACTTGACTCCATTCACCATTTTTACAAATATGGTCATGAAAAAACAGGCAACAATAAGAGGTGAAATTCTCAGTAACACTGAAACCTATGAAGAGCATGAGGCAATACAGAAGTAGAGCAAAAAGTCCTGTAAGTTGTTCGTTTGTTTCGTTTTGTTTTGTTGGAGATTATGTAGCCCTGGCTGGCCTCAAACTAACAGAGATCCACGTGCTGGGATGAAAGGCATGCTCCACCACACCTAGCCTTCTTTAAGTTTCTCAAATAATAAAGTTTTATCATTGGGGGAAATATTCAATAAGAAGTATTTGGTATCAATTGCAACAGGACCTGTAGATATATGTGTGTGTGTTTGTGTGTTTGTGTGTGTGTATTACTTCAAATATGCAAATATACCATGTTTCAAGGTTATCTTTTTTAGATAGGGAGGGTCTTACTATGTAGCTCTGAATAGTCTGGTAATCTCCATATAGACTAGGCTGACTTCAAACTCATAGACATCTGCCTACCTGAGTGTCGGAACTACAAGTGTGCCCCACCACATCATGATCAAGTATTTCTTAAGTACCGAAAGAAAGATTTAGAATCTGATATACCTGATATACCACATGAGAATATGCTTATGCAAAACACATTTAAAATACAAATGTGAAAATGAACTTCTGCAGCACATATCTTGTTCTCTTATCTAAGATCCTGCTGATATCTAGCACTTCTGGTTGGGCTTGAAGAAGATCGTGGTGCAGGGTTAATGCTTTATAAGTTTTAATGTTTTCTTCCCAGAATAATACTGAACACACTGAAAAACTACCCCAAACAGCCAGACATGAAGTAAAACCCAGGTTCCATCATCCTCTAATACTGTCCTAACGTCATGATTCTTTGCCAATATCATGATGATATTATTGCTGCTTTCTTCTTTGGAAATGTAGAAAATTTTAAGACTGCCCACCTGAATTTCAAAACCAAATGTTCCATTGTCCTGCTTTTCCATAGTAACAAGCTTTCTGTAATGAAAAAAAAAATTAAACTTCATGAATATCAAAATATCATATTTGGCCTATATTAGCATTAAATAACTATTACAATGAAAAATAGCTGTCATTTATATACTTTGTAGCACGTGTGTGTATGTGTATATGTGTGTGTGTGTGTGTGTGTGTGCATGTTTTTCAACGTAATGGAGCTTTAATATTCCTAAATACTTCAAAGAGTAAAAAACAAACAAACAAACAATAACAACAAAAAACATGAATTTCTTTACCTTTGAGACCAGGAAAAGTCACCCAAAGAACTGGATCTGCTCAAAGCAAGCTGAAATTATAAAACGTATATAGTTATCTCAAGGCCTTTAAGATATGTCTACAGCTGTTCTGAATCACAAAGGACTTTGTTCTTTATCACCTTCCTGGGCACAGATCCTGGAGAACTTGTTACATAAGTTCACTCACTTCCACTCTCTGTTAATAGCAAAGGAGAACTAGGATTAGAGATGCTTAGATGTTCCATTTACAAGATAGGGAGAAGCACAGAGTTCATGCAATGTGGCAGAACTCCAAGCTTGCAAATATCACTTAATCTCTAATCTATGTTTATGTTAGCCTCTCAAAATGAGCCATAACAATTAATAACCATGCAAATACAAAGAATTACACCCATAAATGTTAGAAAACTCATAGTCCATACTTTCTGGATATGCTGATGAAACAGTCATGCTTATTAGAATAGTTTGATGTATTACTCTTTGAGGTAGGCTAAAATAACCCCCTAAAGGATGAACTAGTATGCATGAATATGATTCAAGGGCCAGTGAGCTGCTCAGTGATTAAAAACACCACTGCTTCATGACCTGAGTTCTACTGAGAGGACCTTGGTGAAAGGGGGGAACCAGCTTGTCTTCTGATCTCCACACATAGGCAATGGCATGCACATCCAGACAAATACATGCACACACACAAGTAATTACAATAAAAATAAAAATAAGAAATATGATTCAAGTAAAAAGAAAGAAAGACTCAAAACCTCAATTCTGTTCATGTTTTATTTTCACAATAGTTTTTACAGGAATGTAGTGAAATTTCCTGCCAAGAAAAGAAAGAAACCTCATAATGCTATAAATAACATCACATTCATTCTGCACATTTTGGAAAAAAGTCATAGAAACAAACATTCAGAGTGTATTCCACTATCATAAACAGAGGAGAGTCAACAAGAGGGAAGACCTTAGTTCAGGGGAATGCAATGGGTTTCTAATGTTGTTGTGACTGTGGTTGTGTTTGTTTAGGAAACATATAGTAGATGTTAATTATAAATTAACCCTTTGTTAAATGTTTCTCCAAAGGCTGTAACATAAATTTATGTCCCTAGCTAAGTTATGATGTTTAACTGCCAACTTAATGTGATTATCATTTGCAAGTAAATACATAAAATATTAGATAAAAGCAGTCAGTACAGATAAATAAAAATAAGATGAGGACATAAAACAGATGTAGAAAATATAGCGAAGAAATTAATGCAGGGCTGGAGAGATACCTCAGCATTTAAGAGCACTGGATGCTCTTGCAGAGGATCTGGGTTCAGTTCCCAGCACCAACATGGTGGCTAACAACTGCCAGTTCCAGGGGAATCCTATGCCTCCATGGGCACCGCACACATGGGTGCACTTACATGAAGACAAAATACTCATACACAAAAATGAAAACAAATAAGTTTTGTTAAAGAATTTAATGCATATTTGACAAGTTCCACAGAAGCCTGCATTAGCATTAATTCAGATTTCCAGATATCAAATGCCAACAATTTCACAAATATTCTCTTTCAAATTTGGCCACAGTCACCATACATAATGGACAGATTCTGTGTGAATTAATTGTACTGTCTTCTTTTGCCATCTATGGACCTCAGCTCATTAACATCACCTGGAGTCTGAAGCAGGATGGCTCAGACACCAAAAGACCCTCTAGGCTCGTGATATGTTTCACCTTTGATTTATATGGATGGATTATGGGATGCCTCCAAGAATTTGAATGATTTGTCACAATCTGGTTTGGGGCCTAATATATTTAACAAACACACAGAGATACATACACATATTAAAAAGGATGTTTCACTTGTGGCAGCAAGCTGCATCTTCGTGAAAGGGAGCAATAACAGTGATATTTGCAGGCATTGTCAATCTCACCCTTGTACTGTGCTCACATTTTCTTGATTTATTTTCATTATCTTTATCTACTTGTCTTTTCACCATTAATTTAGACTGTCAAACACTTGGGTCAGCCTTATTTCTGCCACCTATAATCATGATTAAGGGCTTGTACTTTTGAAACATTGCTCTTGCTGTCATGATTTGTCATATTATTCATACTATCTTTCATATAGAGGTTTCATGTGTACAAATATGTACATATTTATATGAAGGGCATGTTGGATCAAATGCTTCACTTCTGTAGATAATCATCTGTCGGCTTAGGTAGGCCTTTGGGGAGATACACGTGTTTTACTTTCTACCCCAGTGCTCTGCACAGGGCCTAGAATAGAGTAAGAACTTAAAAATAGCAAAACAGGCAGACAAAACTGAACCATCAGACACCATCAACAACTGAACAGTGGTGAGAGACCCTGGGGAAAATATTCAAGTACAGAAGGAATATGCTAAAATATATTTAACTTTGTCTTTAATTAAATTAAATGTTCATAGGACAAATTAAAAGGTAATTATAAAAAGCATAAGATAAAAATTTTAAGTCTCAAAATTATAGCAGGATTTAAAATTGAAAGAAAACAGAATGGAGAAAAGTCTACACAAAACCAGCACATAGTGTGGAAATAAGGCTCAGTGTAAAGGAAAGGTAAAGAAGTGATATCTTAATACATAACTGCTAGATGAGTGAATTATGAAGGAATACAAGAGTTAATCAGTTGTGGAAATCTCAGATCTTCACAGTGTTGAACGGCCTCTTCTTGGCTCTGTATTCATACCATTGACAAGAGTCTCAAGATTTCTTCCAACCTGCCTCCTGAGTAAAAGATCGTTTTGGATATATTGAAATCTAAAAATCTTTTAGGTCCACCAAGCAGAGATACGAAAGAGGGAGCTCCTCTCCCCTTTTCTCCTGACTGTTCTGTCTGGCTAGTTACCTAAATGTGAGTACTAACACAGCACAGTGATTTCATAAAAACTAAAACTAAATCAAACTATAAATTTGTTTTCCTGCTTTATTAGGAAAAAGGCTGTTTTGGGAACTGCCATATAAATAAAAAGTGATTTAAATATGTTAGCCACCATCAGTTTCTCTGACAGGGACCATGTCTTGATACAAAGCCTCCTGGTTTTGGATCTGGGTTGTCCTAGAGAATGATATGCAAAGAAACTCTCAGGGTTCACCAGCCAAACTGCCTGTGTGACATGGAGCATGCCTAAGGTTTTATCAATGGTCCTACACTCTGAAACAAAACTTTCTCTGTGCCTCTCTTCCCAGCACATGAGCAGCCCTATTTGAAGATGTGACCAGTAGTCTGGGTCTTCCCCAGACTAGCCTCTAAGCCAGAACCTTTCTGAGTTGTAGTGATGGCACAAAAAAATCATGAATGAAGAACTGGTGTGGCGATTCACAGCATATGCTGGCAGCAGCTGTCTTTTATTACACATTATCTAATATGAGAAATCTAGGTTTAGCGATTTGGCAGGCTTGCAAACTACTCATTCTGCTCTGCCTGCTCTAGACGAAGCTCTGTAGTGCCTCACTAGCCAGGATTCTAGTGATGCCTGGGGTTGAACTTAGGATGGATCTGCTTTTAAAGTCAGATGACTTCAAAGACAAGGCATTATTAATATTCAACACAGAGTGTGTCTTGCTATGCAGTGATTCACAGGTCTCTCTTGAGTAGAAAACCAAGATCAAATACTGCAGCTGTCAGTATGCCAAGAGGGGAAATTTGAAGCATGGCCGCATAGTGAATCTCTGTAGAGCAGCTAGTCCAACACTGAAGCCACTTTGGCTGCTAAGTTAGACTGGTACTTTCTTTTCCTGGTTCTGCATACTCATTTTCTGCGAGAGTCGGGAATGTGATAAGGGGAGGGTACAGATTAGCAGGTGGATTTTTTTAAAAAAATAGTTTGTTTCAAATTATGTCCTTGGCACTTTCCAGTTCACTGCCCACCTCACTTTTATTTTATGTGCCCAACGGTTCCATGAATTCAACCCTTCCCCCATGTTAAGTCAAGAGCGTTAAGATAGCAAGGTTAACCAAACTATTCAAAGATGCAACAGAAAAATGAAACTGAAATCAATGTCTTAAATTGTAATGCCCTTATGCAAGGTGAATAGGATGTTACAGCTCCAGGAAGGTCTGATTATGCCCCCATGCACTTCTTTTTAAAGAAGAATGGCTGAATATTAACCCAAATATTGCCCAATTGGGATTAAAGGATATTTTTCAAATTCCTCCATAGTAAGTTTCTACCTCAAAGCGTCATGGGATGGTCACAATCCATAGAAGCAGATAGGAGCCCTTGGGAGCCGTGAAACCTAGTAATGTAGTCAGAAGAACCAGGAGAACTCCCATGAACAGAACCCAGTCCAGAAATGCACCAATTACAAGAGTTTAGCAGCAATTCCTTAACTGAAATTATGTGTGAAATCAGTCTTCTAGAAGCTTCCTATTTAGTAACTTCATCACTAAAAGAAAATTAGACAAAGACAATTAGTTTTGGTCTAGTGAAGTCAAACGTCATGCCTGTATGTCAGATTCTTCGTCCTCAGTACAGCACTGGGTGAGAGCTGCTTTCCAAAAAGCATCGTTTGCACCTTTGAAAGTAGTAGTCAGCCAGCGCCTACTCCTGTGGCATCGTGTGTTTATAGAAACTGTCCTTTCCTCCCATTACCTTCCTTCAGAGTTTTCTAGTGCAGGGATTTTTCCTCCTAAAACTGTGTTCAAAATTAGAAGTCTTACTGAAGCGTCTGGCACTTCTTACCAATACAGGTACTGAAATAATATGCACACACAGAAATCTATTTTTAAACTACTCTGAGTGTAAACACCCAGTCAATTCTGAAGATCAAGCTGAAGCTAGAAGCTAACCAGATATAGCTCTGCAGAAACCAAAGCCACAATAACAAGAAGTTTGAGCCGTTGACGTCAGCCCTCAAAGCGTTGAAAATAACAGCAGAGAGACACCTGTTCCTATGATTGCCTCACAGAGATCCTGTTGCAAACCAATCAGTCAGTGCCAGAGGGGTGATTTCTTTTTTCTAAGAAAACAGTTATCAGGCAGCAAATGACCATGTGTCTGAAATGTTGGCATAAGCTTGAATGACGTTTCATTGATAGTGATTGTATAGAATCACAAGTGTCGTGCTCAGAAGGCTTGGTTTAGTTTTGCTTTTTTAAAAAGGGAAATCTAAAAGTAAGAAAAAGCTGTTAGAATAGGGGAAGTCTATCAGAATATGAGAGGAGGAGAGAAGAACTAGAAAAATAAATGCATGAGAAGAAAGTAACTGGCATGGGGATTTGGGCGGGTACACACATGCCTGCATATGCACATATACGTATTTTATTTTTTAAATTTTAATATTTTATCTATTATTTTTACATTTTTATATGTATGGGTGTATTGCCTGCATGTAAGTGCATCCATGTCATGCAATGCCCACAGAGGTCAGAAGAGGGCGTCGGATTCCCTGGAACTGGAGTTATAGATGGTTGTTAGCTGCCATGTGGGTGCTGGGAGACCTCTGCAAGAGCAGCCAGCATTCTAAAACACTGAGCCAGCTCTTCAGCCCTGTACACATATTTTAGATGCCTAAATTCCTCTTATTTTTCCCCCAATAATCAGCTTCTCCTACTAGTTGTCTTTTTTCAATTCATACTATCTTTACTCAAGCTTAAAACCAAATGTGCCATCTCAGTCTTCAGTGCTGTTGATACCCAAGTCTTTGTGTTTCCTCTCCATTGCTTCTTTTCCTCTTTCTTCAACTACTGTCAAAGTTCACACGTTTGCCTCCACCAAGCTACCACATTCCTAGAACAAAGTTCCTAAAATCCTCTACAGCTCAAACCCATTCAGCAGCTCTCTGTAATGATGAGACTACAGTCAGCTTTCCATATCTGCATCCTTCCATTCACCCAACTGCAGGTTAAAAGCATTCACAAAAAAATGCATTGCATATGTAACTAACATGTACAGGTTTCCTTCTTGTTATTATTATCTAAACAATACAGTGTAACAGCTTTTTGCATAGCAACGCTATTTTATTAGAAATTTTAGGTGATCCAGTAGTTTATATGCAAGTGCTCTGTACATGAGGGACTGGAGCACCAATGGGCTTTTTCATGGAAGATGTTCCTAGAACCAGTGCTCTAGATACCAAGGGATAACTTTACTGCTTTCTTAGAGGTTGTCCAAGGTTTCTGCAAAGCAGTCTAGCTCTGAGGTCTCTCCTCTCACCTCTCAAAATCACACAGGAGCCTCCAGACATGCTGAATACAACGTTGTTACACAAACCTCACCCCAACACACTGCAATCTGTGCCTCAGCACTGGGGATTCCCTTGTTCAGGAATATCAAACATCCTGCAAGCTTGTTTTAGAAGCATGTTACATACATGTTCTATAACACTTTCTCATTCTGTCCCCTGAACTGTAAACCCTCTCCAGGCAGGGAATATGCCCTTTCTTATCTTTGTGGCTGATATAGGTAGCATGATGTTTTTCACCTTGTAGGTGCTCAGAAACTACCTGGTGCATTGGAATGCCTGAGCTGAAAGGGAAATATGGAAACATCCCAAACTAAGTCAAAAATTAACAAGTTTCTTTCACAATACGCAACGTACCCAAAGAATGAATCATAGATTAAGCAAATGAATAGTATTTAGTTTGATAGCTTCTTGGCAAATAGAAAAAACAGGGTCTCTATTTGAAAACTGAATAACGATATTGGTATTTCCTGTGATAGGCCAGTGATTTGCTCAGGATACCACAGCTACTTAGTAGCCAAGCTAGTGTTCCATCTAGCATTCACCTCTGCAAAAGTCTCAATCGCCAAGAGCATGGGTAAACGCCAGTGCTTTGGAGTTGATGAGAATTTATTTAGTTGACAAAATTTGTCTTCAAGAAATCTTCTCTTGATTATGAACTGATATGGTTACCAAGGACTAGGTGAAGCTAGGAAGGAAAAAATCAACACAGATACAAAAGGGAAAATAACCACTGATGCTCACATTGAGTGTGTTGTTGTAAACCATCTTCAAATTGGTTGTGCCCAACAACTTTCATTTTGCTTGTACACATCCGTACATGAAAAAAAAATGAGTTTTGCTTTAAAAAAATAGGTTTGACTGTTCTTCCATCTCTGACCTGGTATACTATCTTCCTGGGTGTGTCACTCCTTCCTCACACTTACTGTCTGTCAGTCACCAGCTCCTAAGTGAATTAACTCAGTAGAGAGAAGGCCTCAAGAAGAATTCTCTTCTGATTATGAACTGAAATGACTATTAATTATTAGGAATGAGGCTTGGAATTCATGGCAAATAACATTTTAGTAGGAAGTCAGACACACATACCATGTCTACCCTAAAGAGGATGAGAATAAGCTAGAGAATAAAGTAGCAATTGTACCTGCTTTCGTCCCCGAGGCAAGGTAGCCACAGTGTCTGCCAGCATCTGGATCCTTCTATTATCTTCCACTGTGAGAGGGCCTGTGAGGGCGGAGTAAGAGCTGTATGCAGGACCTGTGTGGTAGTCCTCCAAGTTGCCATTGTCGCTCTGCTGCAGAAGCCTTTGCAAAGACATTGTGAATAAAGATTAGTCCAGCCAGCACATGGTTGAGTGGCCTTGCACGCTAGGGGAAGTGAAATGCACAGCCCTCTGAGAAGTAATCAGAAGTAGCAAAGCAGAAATTGCCCATGTGACTTCTGTGGTTTGAGGTACGTGTTATACAAACCCTATCTAGCAGTTCACTCCCACTACCAAATGTTTTTTCTTTAAGCTTCCTGGAGTACTTCGAGCTCATTTTTTATAATTAAAAAGAATCAACTTACTTTTTTTTCTCCCTCAAACAGCCAGAATTCTTATGTTTTCATGCTCTATGGCTATTTGTGTTCAAAATATTATTTGCCTTTTTTTAAGAAAAAAGAAAAACTTCACCAAGTTCTGTCATTTGTATCCTACCATGCTCTCATTTGACATGAGCAGTGCAATGCAAAGTCAGAATGTGCCGGCATTTAGTTCTTAAACTATAAGCAAGAATTACAGGTGCTGGTCATAATGTCCTCTTACAAAGTCCTTGTAATGTTCTTTCCCTGAAGCACACCCTGGCTCATTAATGTTCATCAAAAAGCCATTCTATTGGTCGCTTGGGCTTGAGCCCTTCAACATTCCCTGGTTGCCCTTCTACAGCTTTGTCCTTGCTAAAATTATTCACCAGCTCTATAAGGCATATTGGGAGTGGGCAAGCAGCACATCTGGGGTATACTGTCAGCCATATCAGAGACTAGACTTTGCTGCAGCATTAGTAAATGATACTGGAAGGAATGGAGTAGGTGAGAAGGGAACAGGAAAGCTAAGATAGCACAGGATGGTCCAGTTGCTTTAGAATGCCATCACAAGGTATCTGAAACCACATTTACAGTTTCATAAAGGCAGAGCTCAGAGGAAGATAGTATGGGGACAATTGATTTCACAGAGAAGCAGGGCAGAAGAGTAGAAGGTAGAATCAAAATGAAAGTTAAAAAGAGAAGTTTTATAGAGCACAGAAGGTCAAGCACACATCTAAAAATTATTTTGAATGTCAATTCTAGAATTTAAAGGAGTTGCTTTGGGTCAAAATGGAATGTGTGCTCCAGACGTCAAAGTGGATTCAGCTCAAGCAGAACTCACCAAATATAAATAGTAAAATCTCCAGAATTCATCAAAATGGAGCCAACTCAGAGAGGTTTAAAGGCTTATCACAGCATGGTTCATTACTACTGGAACTGCATAACAATGGAGGCAAAATTATGTCCCCCAAAATACTTAAAACCCAAAACAGGGATTACAAATACATATCCTTTCAGGGTACAGGTAAGTAGTATAAATGTGCAACACAAAAGGGAGTGGTAGACACTTTGGTAGCTAAATAATATATCAGTCATAAAGGTATTCATATAGTGCATGAGCATATGTGCATGCACATATTATATATTAGAAAGTAAGATAGGAAAAAGAGGCTATGACGCATATAACATGACACTATGAATAGATGAACACAATACCTCTGTCCTCTAGGACTTTTGCAGTTAGGTGAATATGTTAATATTTCACAATAACAAATGGAAATTGTATGGCCTTGACTAACATCAACCACACAGGCCCATCTCACTGACACACCAAGCTCACATTCAGTAAATGAAAACTAAAATCATATCAATTCAGCATTATAGAAATATTAATATAAATATTATAAAAGTCAATCATTTAATTGAGAAATGTGAAAATGTTACTCATTATACAATGAAATGGATTTAGCAAGCTGAGTTTTTTTAAACAATAGGCTCCATGAATATAAAAATCAGAGTCAAGTTGGGCATGGTGACACACTCCTTTAATCCCAGGATTTAGGAGGCAGAGGTAGGTGGATCTCTGTGAGATTGAGGCCAGCCTAGTCTACATACTGAGTTAAATGACAGCTAGGGCTACAGGGAGACCCTGTCTCAAAAAACAAAACAAACACACAAAAAAAATCATAGTCAAAGGCAGGTCTGACATTCTGCCAATACGTATCAGTATGGTCACACCCATTAGTGGTGTGGTTATGAACTAAGAAATTTTTATGTGAAGCTCTTTGTTCTGATTCTTAAGACCTGTGTCATACAGTTATTAAATATTTTAAATCACATCCTGATCAATAGTGACATTTGTGACAAAATGTAGTGAAACATTCATCTTTTAACAGCAATGTAGCTTCAAATATCAAATGGTTGGCTTAAAAAGATGTTTCACTGTTTACATTTTAGAACTTTTATCTTGTTGTGTTCTGTTTGTTCTTTAGCTGCCTAGACTGCCTCCCTCTCAGCCTCTACTTTTCTGTGATGAGGGGATTCTGCAGATAAAGCAGACCTGGCTATCCACCACTTGGAAGCTCTCAGGTATGCTTCGCTGTCCACAAGACAAAAGAAAAAGAATTCCAGGTTCTTATCTTACCCTCTCCTCCGAGGGTCACATCATATATTTTTCATAACTTTCTTTTGATTCCTAAAATATTATCCATAGATTATAATTAGTTGCATCCCAGGTATGTTGCTATATAACGTCTCATTTCCTTTCATTTTCTTGAGAGCAAGGGGCATCCTTTAATATTAGAGTTCATGTCTTACACATCAAAATTGTTAAAGAAATGTCTGTTAATAAAAAAAAGATTATAAGAAGTTAGAATTTTTTAATTAAATAATAATGTCCAGAAGTATCAAGGAAGAGAAACCAACCTGGTAAGAAGTCTATCCCATGGGGATACAGTGTTCCTCAAGGGTGATCTGAGTCATGAGGACAGATCTCTTTAAAAAGGCTGCCTGTAATTCAAAAGTAATATTCTGGAGCTAGAGAGACAAGATGGCTCAGTGGTTAACAGCACTGACTGCTCTTGCAGAGGACCCAGGTTCAGTTCCTAGCACTCATATGGCAGCTAACAACCATCTATCACTCTATTTCCAGAGAATCTGACAACCTCTTCTGACCTCCATGGGTACTGCACACACATGGTACATTTACATACATGCAGGCAGACATTCATACACATAAAAAAATAAATAAAAAATTTAAAAACTAATATTCCTTAAAAAACCCTAATATCCCAGTATTTGGTCTGTGCAGCATTTACTATGCAATGTCACATTAGGGTGATGCTTGAATAAAACAGCCCAACTCTTATCCATTTTAGCTAAGAGGGACCTAAACTGTTCTGAGAACCTGTTCCTTCAGAATTCTCTCAAAACTGTCCTCTAGAACAAGGGTTCACTATTTTTTTTCTTGAAACAATATGTCCAGTATAAAATGGGGAAGTAAAAATGGAGTCTTATCAGAGGATCTTTTCCTTTTTGACCCTACTGACTTAGATTAGCACATACACACACACAAAACCACGAACAAATGTTATCAATTTCTCTCATTGTTTTCAATGACACAAGTACTATTCATAGCACTTGGTAAGCAAACCATACACACATACATTATTCTGGACCAAAAACAAGGAAGGACCTGAGGGATTAAGGCTGTATCCCCAGGTCACGAGAGGAGCACACAGTTTACTGAACCTGTCTATATTATCAACAAGCTAAAGTAAGATGAAGTTTCTAGTTACGAGGTTAAAAAAAGTTATTTGTCCAAAGTACGTCTATATTATAGAAAACATTCCCACGGGGTGAACATTCCTCTTATTTGGGGTATTTTGTTTATATGAAGAATTAATCTTTAGTATGAATGGACTGAATCATGAGAGTTAGAACATAAGGATAGTGGTAGAAGAAGGTGACGATATGCCAAGAGTCCAGAACACAGACAGAAAAATAGGAATCTCTTTCAGAAATTGTAACCAACCTGCTGAACATGCATGAAAACAGTATCAGAAGATTGATTACAGGGTTCTGGTTCCAAATTTCTAGATTCAAACCCTGGCTCTGATACTTTAAGAACTTGCACTAAATTGTATCCAAATAAGTGCATATGCTAAAACCCTAACCCCCAATGTGCCTGCCACTGGCCAAAGAGGTAATCAAGGTTAGCTGAGCTCATAAGGGTAGAGTCCTGATCTAATAGAACTTGTGCCTTTATAAGAACAGACATCAGAGAGGTCTCGCTCTCTGCCACATGAGGACACACACAGCAAGAGAGCAATCTTCTAGATGTTAGGAAGATGAATCGGTGATCGCCTTGATCTTAGACTTCTCAGCCTCTAGAACCCTAAAAACATACATTTCTGTGCAAAGTCACCCATTGTGTTGTATGTCTATGCTACAGTTATGCTATAATGTTTTCTGAGCAGTCTGAGCTAACTCATATGCTCTCTAAACCTCAATTTCCACATAGGCGAACACTAGTGATTAGGGAAGAACAGACAAGAGAGCCCTTGTAACACGTGGTACAAGATAAGCTATTACTATTGAGTTTTGTTTTAAGCAGTAAGATCTCAGAAGGGAAAGGAAATTACTTTTATTCCATATGAACTTGCCTATCGATTATCCAATGTCCATATGGGCAGCAAGGTGCCCCTCATCTGCCCTCATAAAGTGTAAAGGTTGGAATACATGTGCAATCTTGCAGTAATCCAGCAAGATGTGCTTATAACGCATTATCAGAGCTGGATTCGTGCTGCCTTAACATACCAACTCATTTAGATGAACATGAGAGAGGAGTAAATGAAAAATGAATTCTCTTCTGTAACATTCTAGTTATTTGTTTTGCTTCATGATATTATTTGTTCACTATTTTATGTGACTTCCTAGAATAGCATAGTATTTTGTTTGGTTTTGTTGGTTCACTTGTTTTATTTTGTCCTTTATATTTATTTACATAAGAAGTCTTTATTTGATTCTCTAAAAAAGTGGTAAATGAGGTAATGTTATATAGACAACTCTGAATATTATGTATTTGAATTGATATAAGGAAATTTTAATTTTATGAAGTTACTCTGCTATGGAAAGCCTGCTAAGTCTGACAGCTATTCTGTAATATTTACTGCCTTATTTTAATGACTAGGCTGAGTGGATGGATGTTTCCCTTTTCCTTGAATCAGTGGAATTACAGATAACATTCTCTAAAATGGTGTTGACCTCCTCAGAAAATGGTAACCTAAAATTCTATA